GCGCTTTGATGATGCACCTGCTGGGGCAGTAGTCATGGATTACATCCTATGTTTAGCTCCAATAATGTCTGGGCCGTTCAACAAATGTTTAACCTTTGAACTTTTTTATGCACCAACACTACCTAAAAATTGTAAACATGGGTAAATATATTTGTTGAGTTCTTAGTGTGGAGTGCAAGCAATTGGATTTATGCACATCCAAGGCTTAGCCATATGTCTTCAGTCAGGTTATTAATGCAAGTGCAAAGAAATACTTTATGGGACTCGTTTATATTGATGCGTGAGTCGTGACTGACATAAGTTCTTATTTAGCTAAGTGTGCAGTGTACTCATTTTAGCTTCTGATCAATTAATCTTGTTTACAATGAGACCTACCTGGTATATAATCCTATATAAATCCCAAAGTTGAATAAAGCAAATACTTAGATGCACAACCAGGACTTGTTTATGTTAGCACATAGATTCTTATATTGATACTATAATTGGACCCTTATATTTCACATTCTGTAAAATAGGCACAGTGATGGATTACATGTTGCAATGCCACAAAATACATATTCAAACCATTTATTTTTTAGTTTTGTGGACAGCAGAGACCACACAACGCAGCACATCCAGGAACGCACGGTTGAATTCACGCTGTTCTTTCTTCCCCCATCTCCCCTCCCTCTCCAGGCATCTGTCTTCCTTCTGAGATGCCATCTGTTCCGCCATAAGCGAGTTCATCTTCCTCGCAGCCTCAAGGGACCCCGCGTCACTCACCACCAGCCTCTCCATCCACCTCCCTTTTCCTGAATAAACACCCAAAAGATGTTTATGGAATTTCCATGTGCTTGTCATATTACTCACCGTAGCTTGGTCTGTGGTCTGCCAATGACACCGAAAAGCTCGTGCTTTGGCTGGGGCAGCTGTCGCCAGATGAAGGTCCAGCGTTTGTGTCCCCAGCGTTGGGTACGTCCAGGCTGTCGCCGGTGAACAGTTCCAGAGTAATTTCTTTTATAAAGTAACAAAAAAAAAGTTACATAACTAA